ACGTGTTCGAGGAGGTCGCGAAGCATAACCAGACCAAAGATTGCTGGCTGATTATCAGTGGAAAGGTCAGATCTCGCTCCTGAAATTAGATTCTGTTCTCCAATTTTTTTTTGTGTTTCGAGTGCTGTAGATTTAGTGGGCACGCTCAATGGTATGTTTTGATTTTTCTTGTTTGCTGGTGATTTGATCTGTTATCGAGCTTTTGAGCTCTGATCTTCATGTTGAGTAATTCCAGCTATGGATAGTGGTTGAAGATGATGTATTAAGTTTGATATATTGTAGCTGATATGCGAAGCTTTCGTGGTGCAGTATGTTCGTTGTTCGACGATATTTTCAATTGGTACTGAGTTATGGTCTGGATGTGTAAAATAATGTCGATATGTTAGATGAATGCTTAATTTCAAATTTCAAAAGCATCTTTGGGATATTCGATCCGTTTGAGGGGAGGTGTTTGTGAACAATTGTGCTTAGTGATCTGCAATTCAGCAAGTGGATATCATGCTTCTGGTTTGTTGCTTCCTGGGCTAGCCCAGTTTATTGTGCACTTTATATTCTTTTCCTTTCTTTTGTAACTTTAATTAGTGATGAAGTGCCACTTTAGAGACCAGTACGTTAGCTAAAGGTAATATAGAGAAATCCTATGTCTTAGCTATAAGACATTAAGACTATGACGCTCGTGAACATGGTTAAGTATTTACTGGACTGTACAAGACTGCCCTTGGTTCATGGCATTTGGCTTAAAGACTGCTCTTTAGAGATACCAATGAATTAATTGCCTGGTGATACTTGTGTGTGATGGGGTCGTATATTCAACTTCTTCTTTTTTTTCCCTTATTCTGAAGTAAACTCGTTTCATATATTTTCAGGTTTATGATGTAACTCCATTCATGGACGATCACCCGGGAGGTGATGAAGTTTTGCTATCAGCCACAGGTAATAAAAATGTCTAGCATTATTCCCACTTGTGCAGTTTTGTGCATACTCTTTATCGAGGATCATTTTACACTAAATCGTGAATTAATTTGTAATTTTTTACAGGAAAAGATGCAACCAACGACTTTGAAGACGTTGGCCACAGTGATTCTGCTCGGGAAATGCTGGATAAGTACTACGTTGGGGAGATAGACCCAGCAACAGTCCCCTTGAAACGGGCGTACGTTCCACCACAACAAGCCCAGTACAACCCAGACAAGACGTCTGATTTTGTGATCAAAATCTTGCAGTTCCTTGTGCCTCTATTGATCCTTGGGCTGGCTTTTACTGTCCGCTACTACACCAGAGAGAAAGTGAATTGATGGTCGCTTGGATCGTGGATTTCCTTTTTTTATTATGATTGCTATTGTTGTTATTGTTGGTTGCAGAATGAACTTCAGCACTCTTGTTGTGATTTTTTTTTTTAATTATCTTGGGCATGCGAAATTCTAGGTGATTTGCAGTTTTGGCTCATCTTTGTACTCTTAAGGGCTGTTTGTTATAAACTGTTGGGACAGTGTTTTTAGAAGGTGCTTCTACATTTTCAGCTTTTATCTGTGTTCGTATCTTTCTTTTATTCACATTTTTTTTTTTGTTGGTTTCACATTGGCAAGCCTGCAATCAGCCAACTGGTTTTTCCTCGTCGGACTTTCATTAGCAGCCAATTTTTTTTTTCACTTTGACGTTATAAATTACTAAAATCTTAAAAATTTTCCTTTCATAACCAATCTCCACTGTCTGAAAACAAATGAATAAAACAGATCAAAGCGACTTTAGACTGAAACCATCCATCGGATTCTAGGATGGCGTCCAGGTTTAATATCGATTAGTCAAATGAGAGGTGTCAATTGAGATCATCACTCTTGAGAACATCTTATTACAACATGTTCAGGCCAAAAGCAGAGATTCAGCACAAGTCTAACACAACATGAAAAAAATCGTACACATGCAAATGCTTAAGACCAGCGGCGTTCTTGTTCATAGCCTTACCGGGCGCAAAGCATTTAACTCCACCTACATAAAACACAAGGCCGAAATCCCAAACCCAAATTAATTCACGGTACAACAAAGTTAAATAAGAATAATTTCAGTTTCATCGAATATCCAAAAGTAGCCTCTTCGCAGAACAAGCTCTTTCTTGCCCCCATATAGCCACAACAAACCCAGCAGCGGCAATCTCTTAAAAGAGGTATAATAAATAAATTAGTAAATTACCATACCAAACTTTTTCACCAACTAAAAAAAGTCTTTTAAGTTCCGATTTTCTCATGTAGGGTCACCACCAAGTCGTGAGCATCATCAAGCAGCTTCCACACATCGAGATGGCCTGCCATCGCATTGCACTCCCTCAAAATCTCGTCCATGCTGCTATAACTCTCGATTATCTGCTTCCTCCTCTGCAAAACCGAGGCCGCAATCGCGTAGAGT